CAGCCGACCTACCTGCCGCCGAGGAGGCGCCCAAGGCGAAGCACAGCAGCCAGAGAGCGCGGGAGGGCATGGCCAAAGGGAGGCTTCCCCCGGAGTAAAAACGAGCTCGAGCCCCACTTACTTTCTCTCTCTCAATCTCTCTCTCAATCTCTCGCCCTCTCTTTTGGCCCTTCCCCCTGTTCATGCTAATGAGAGGCATCCTGAGGGGAAAACGGGAACCGGTCACTGGCCGAGCGAGCCACTGAAGCAAGACCAAGCGGGGGCAGCCCCTGGCAGCGAGAGCCTTCCTCGGGCCCCTGGCACAAAGGGACCGCGACCTACAACCCGCTGGCAAGGAGGACCTGGGAGAGGGAAAGCACGCCGGAGATGTCGAGCAGATCTCTGAGGGTCGGTGCAAAATGTAGGTCCTGGCCCCAATCATCGAGCCTGGCGCACACACAGATCTCAAGGCACAGGGACCTTTCTTTGCTTACCAGGGCTGCCTGCTACACACTCGCCGGTGGCGTGCCTGCTTGATATTAGCTTTCATCCCCACCGCTATGTGATCACCACACAAAGGAACAAGCAAAGACATTATCAACACTGATGAGCAATGCTGGCTGAGTGGAACCCCATGTGCAGAGGCAGGCGACTTTTGAAAACCTGATGCTGTCCACAAATTAATACTTTTTAATCCAGAGAGAGGAGGCTGTACTGCCTTTCCTGCAGCTCCAAATACTGTAGCTTCTTCCAGTTTGCTTATGCTGAATGGTCCTGCAAGGTAACTGGTCCCCAGATGCTTGTCTCCTTCAAATCCACATTCTGATTTCTTGTAGTGATGTTCAGAGGAGGAGCCAATTGGCAAGATCTTTACATGAGTAGTTGGGCCTTTAGCTCAGCTGTGGCAAACCACTTCAATAATCTCCAGGCCTTAAGTTTTGCCTCTTTCCTGACATGTTCATTTCTTCCATGAGTCCTATCTTGTTACTTCTTTTGGTTTCTAAGACTGAAGGAAGTAATTGTTGCCCAGCTTACACAATTTCTTGGTTCAAAGGATTTTGTTCAAATTATGAAAAATAGTTCTTTATTTGGGCAACTATTTCTGGTGTTAGATCTTGAGGTAGTAGCTTCCTCATCCTTAAGATGTGAACAATCAGGATTTTATTTTTTATTTTTTTTTTGCTGCCTTGATAATTGAAATGTAAGTTCAGGCAAATATTCAATATAATTTCACTTACTGTTGTGCTGAATTGCTGCCAATCAGCTTTTTAGAATTTGTACTTCCTATGGAATGGTACCGCTGATAGTCAAACTGATTCCATAGGTTGGCATATTATGAGCTGGTGCTGCATATTCAAAATCAGGTGACAGACTGAATTCACACACAATTTGGCTATAGGCTCACTGGGGAGCAGGAGAGCAGTGATAAGCCACTCCTTGAACATTTCACATACTGTACTTTGAAAACCGTATTAGGGTCACCTTTAAGTAGGAAGGAACTTGACAATAAGAACATAATTTCTGGCAGAGAAGAATTCTATGGTTTTCAGGCAACACAAGAGCAGGAGGCAAAGAAAAATTGGACACCCTAAGTGAACATAGAGAAAGGAGAAAAGCTGGAAATAATACTGTAGCGAATCACCAATCCTACAGTCTTTAGGACAGACCTCAAAAAGAGTCATTGTGCCTTAGAAGAAGGAGGCCCATGAAAGAAAGAGTCCAAGGGTTGAAGAGACATGATGATGACCAGAGCTCATGGCAGAAGGTGGGCCCACTTTTGTAGCTCTAGGCCTAGGCAGCCAAACAGCAGCGCCTGATATATTAGGATATTGAACTGGACGGTTCCTGGGTTTTTTTTTTAATTGAAAAAACAAAAAAGTTCCATGGGAAAGCTCACATATAATAAGATGAATAAACAATTAAACCATCATCAAAGTGCAGCAGTATGAACATGACACAGCTGCTGTGCAGTCTTTTCCCTTTTGAAAAACAGCTTAAAAATAAGCAGGAGGAAACAAAAACAAAGAGAGTTAACAAAACATTGTCTGCCCCTTCAAACTGTCTCTGGAAAAGAAAAACTCCCAGCTCTCTTCATCCCCAGGATCCAACAGAGGACATATACCTATCAGCCATGGGGAGGAAACAAAAGGAGGGAGGAAGAATCTGCTGCCACACTATACTTTTTTTAAAAGGAGAAATTACTTCAGAGTCACTTACATCATGGGGTAGTGGAGCCAGGCCTCTCAGGCTCAAATCCCAGAACTTTCCTAGTCCTAAGGTCTGTGGCATCCTCTGCTCCCTCTACCCCACCTCTCTTCCCATCATGTTTTAACATTCCCTCAAGGCTTAGCTGCAATCCTTATAGGAGGTGGGAGAGAATACTATTGTGTGGGATCCCTGCTGTCATGCAAACTATCTAGGGGTGTCTTGGCACTTAAATGCCATTGACGTAAGAGCCATTTCTCATTTATTGATCTGGAGGGATACCAGTGCTTGCGTTTTGGACTGTCCCTGAGGAGGGCAATCTTTGGAGACCATCATGATGAACCCCTTCACTTCTATATTTCCTGCTGCATCATTGTTCAGAATGGTAGCCTTTGGTTGATATATTTTATAGCACGTGCAACCATTGGCCCTCAGAGAAGTATAAAATTAATAGCACACAGTGTGATTAGTGAAAGGGTGCAAGGAGCCATAGGTGAGTTCAGGGTCTGACTGAAGATGCCAACCCAAAGAAGCTGTCCCTCCCTTGCTGGGCTAGAACAGAGGGGCAATTTAAATCAAGAAGACTCCCATTAGAGTTGGTGTTAAGAATATTTTGCCAGCACACAGACAATTCAGAAAAAAACAGAGAGGGGTTAGAAAGAAGCTTTTGATTGGAGGAAGTTCACTGCCACTTGAGTAGGCATACAAAAACATGGCAAAGCCAGGGAATCCAAATACCTGGGCAGTGCCAAACAATATTTCCTGTTTAATCTAACAACTCACCATATCTTGATTGTGGGGATACACAGAGCTGGTGCCTTCCAAGATAACCTCAGTGATCAGAGGGGCTCACTTGGGAGTATATTGTATGGGAAACATGCTGCCACCCAGCATGTTGCTGGACTGAAACTCCCTGCATGTCTTACCATCAACTATGCCGTCTAGAGCTAATGGGAACTTGGGATCTTACAGCATCTGGAAGGCCACACCCTTGGCCTAAGTCAGTCAGAATGAGGTGCGCATTCTGTGACTTTTCAAAAGGGTTTGGATTTCAAATCCCAACATCCGTGGTCACTGGACTGTTGAAACGACATCTGGAGGGCTGGAGGTTGCTCAATCCTGATTTCAGGTTTTAAAGGTTACATGCTGGCACAATGATGTAAGTGCAGTGGGAGCCAGTGAAGATTACAGTATCTTCCACTATCACATCCTGGACCAGTTGCAAGCCCTGCTGCTGCTGCTACTGTTATGTGCTGTCAAAGTGCTGACACTACGAATTAGTGATCTAAAAAAAGGCCAGTTGTCAACAGCCCTTGTCAATTCAAAGTCTTTACTGAGTCAAACCATCTCTTGTTTTGGCCTTCCTCTTTTCCTGTTGCCTTCTACTCTTCTCTGCATTGTTATTTTTCCAATCAATCTTGTCTTCTTATGATGTGTCCAAAGTCCAACAGACTCAGTCCAGTTGTAGGACTGCAAGCCTTGCCCAACTCTTATCTGTGTGAGGGCATGATTCTGTTGCAGAGGAGTGGAGAACATGTGGCCCTTGAGATGCTGCTGGACTGCAACCTCCATGCTCCTTTATCACTGACTCTGCGGACTAAGGCAGCTATCAATTGCAATATAACACCATCTCTAGGGCCATGCTATGCCTGCTCCCAGTGCTGAAGCAGCAGCAGCAGCTCTTTACCCACTCCTCACCTGCAAGTTAATTATGCAGGCTGCACATTGCCCCCCCCCAGCAAGCTGGGTACTCATTTTACCGGCCTCAGAAGGATAGAAGGCTGAGTCAACCTTGAGCCGGCTACCTGGGATTGAACCCCAGATCGTGAGCACAGTTTTGGCTGCAGTACAGCGGTTTAACCACAGCTCCACAAGGCCAGTCCACAGCAAAGTATGCTAGTACCCTGTGCCATAAATCAGCAAATGCCAAACACTCAGATGCAGCCAATCACATAGGATTATTACTGGCTGCCTGAAATTAAGCCCCACTGAAAATATTTATTATTTGGCTGACATTACTCCCTTTCCACAAGTATATCAAGAGGTACAAGCAAATAATGAACAAAAAGAGGTTAATAGAGTACCAAAGACATCCATTTCAAGGACACTAGCCCCCTAGACAATGGCTAAAATTGAGAATAGTCTGCACACATCTCACACTCTAAATATTAGATCACAAGGGGCTAGGCTCAACCTGTGGAGAACAAAAACAACACACTTTGCCAAATGGTTGAATGCTGAAGAGTGCCTCCCACCAGGACAAGACTATGGCTACCTCAGGGAGCAGCTCCTGGTGGAAGGGTATCCATGGAAGCTATTCTACCTTTTGTCCTGGGTCCCCTAAATACTCCCTTTCTGCTGGCAGAACTGAGCTTCCTGCTCTGACTTAATGTGACCTATCCTGCACTCCCTGACCTGGCCTGCTGCCCTTCAAGGTGATGCAGGATATTGTCCCATTGTCTTAAAGCCTTCTCAGTACTGTATTTATTTTTAGTAAAGACATGGGGAGGAAAGTGGACTTGTCCCATCACTTCCACATAAGGAGAGTGATGAAGGTAGGGGTGGGGCAAATACACTCCCTTCTTAACTTGTTCAGGTAAGGGAGATAATATGATGCCTGAATGCAGCTGGCTTTGAAATATGATTCAACTGACAGCTCTGTTTGCTTCTGTCAAATAGGGGCGAGGCTGGGAAGGGGCCATTTCCCCCTTACCTAAGACAGCCTAAGACTACCTGTGGAGGTGGGTCTGGCCTGCTATTGCTCCTGCTTATTGATCCGTGCTGGTTGGGGTGCTTAGCAAGTGGGAAACCCCAGCCCCTAGAATGGCTTAACTTCCCCTTCAGTTCAGAGCAAAGCAAGCATTAATAGATGGCAATTGTTATTTTATTGTTTTATTTTATTGCTGTGAAAAGCCTACTGGGCTGATTCATTAAAAGCAACAGTACATATGAGATGGGGGTGGTGTCCCTTTTTGATTTGTTAGTTATTATCAGCATTTTAAATAGGAATAACATAGGATGTTTGGCATTTGGTAAGAATTTTACGGAAAAAGATGTCAAGAAGAAGGTTTAATAATTTCGTGCCATCCCATAACAAATAAAGAGGGAAAACGTTGTCTGGGAGAGAGAGAGAGAGAGAGAGAGAGAGAAAGAGAGAGAGAGAGATGAAGGTAAATATATAGATGTCTGAAACTAATTCCGAGTTCTTTTCTTTGCTGCTCTGAAGAGTCAGAGGATATAGAAATGAAGGCTAAAACTGAGAGGAGGACTGTGCCGTGTGCCCTCCTTCACGTTTATTCAGCACTAAATTTGCGTTTGGTGTTTAGTCCTGGAACTGGGGCGTAAAATCGCTGCCCCCTTGCAATCCCAGGCTCCTTTCAGTGAGACCCGTTAACACTGGACTCCATGGCACTAACTTCTGAGGAGAACCCCAGAGATTTCAGCCAGTCCAGGACATTCCGCGGCCCGATACGGACGAACTCACGGCATCCCCAGCTCCAAACACGTCACACCCTTGCAGCTAGGAAGCCAAGTTGTTTCGGCACACGGGGAAGAAAATCCCA